TTATTATTATTATTATTATTATTATTATTATTATTATTTATTGCATTTACCTGATGTCGTTAAACTAACTCACAAGTCATATCCTCACTTAATGCTCTTTAGCTGCATTGAGGCATGATCTAGTGTTATACCCTCCCATACAGTTCTACATGTATAGTTCTACAGGGATAATCATGTCACAGTTGGATAGCCCATCACAAGGATGGCCCCATCAGCAAACTAGTGTGTCAAACCCAGTGGATGTAAAATGGCTACTGGGAAATGGGAAATACCAAACACAGAATTTCTGTGACTTATGGGATGTGGTGGCTCAAGTGGTTAAGATGCTGACTCCATTGATTGCAAGATTGGCAGGTTGACAGTTCGAGGCCCAGGTGCTGCATGATGGGGTGAGTTCCCATCACTAGTCCCAGCTTCTGACAACCAGCAGTTTGAAAGCAAATGCAAGTAGATATATAGGTACCACTTCAGTGAGAAGAAAACAGTGTTGTGTGTAATCATGCTGGCCACATGATCACAGAATAGTCTTTGATAACACTGGCTCTTTTCTTAATAATGGGGATGAGCACCACCCCCTACGGTCGGACACGAGTTCACAACCTTGTCAATGGAGAATACTTTTGCTTTTTATTATTATGTTTCCTCACTGCATGTAACAAAAAATACATATTTGTTGTGCCACAGAAGCTCTGGGATTAAACTTCTAATAACTGAGGAAGAAGTGGGGGAAAAAGTCAACTGATTCTGCAGAGGTGTGACACAAAGAAAAGAACAACAGAAATTTTCACATATCAGTAAAGTGTGTCATTTTCAGAAGACCAGAGTTTGTAATTATTTACAAAGAATTAGCTACTTATAATGAGTTGCCAGAATGGTGCAGTGGCTTGAGCGTTGGACTATGACTCTGCAGACCAGGGTTCAAATCCCAGCTCAGCCATATAAACCCACTGGGTGAACTTAGGCAAGTCACACACTCTCAGTCTCAGAGGGTGGCAATAGCAAACCCTCTTCTGAAGAAACTTGACAAGAAAACCCCATGATAGGTTGACCTTAAGGTTGTCAGAAGTCAGAAAGATCTTGAAGTTAGAGAACAACAATGTGTTTACTGTTCCACTAACTGAAATATAGGTACATTGCATTATGTTCATAATTTAACGAGAGATTATTTTGTTACCTTTGCAATAGAACTGTAACGTTTAGTTACTTTTAAAGTTATGGAGACATGGTAACTAAATAGTAAGGAAGGACAACCATATGATGAAGATTTCTTCTGCTGGTATTGGTGCTTCTGAGTGCTCTGTTGTAGTTGTTGACCTAATGACAAAATGAAAGGGGTAGACTGTTTTTTTTCCAATACAGGTCATCAGTTTATACCATTCAGATTTCAATTACTTTTAAAGAAACTAAAAGTAAGTTTTTATTTATTTATTTATTTATTTGTATTCTTTATTTGTTTGTTTATTAAGAAATAGGAAACCACAATGTTCCTTTTCAAAACTGTAACTATAGTGGTGACAAGCTACTTTCTAATATCAGAACTGTAGAAATAACTACAGGTTAAGTATCCCTTATCTGAAATGCTTGGGACCAGAAGTGTTTTGGATTTTAGTTTTTTGTTGTTGTTGTTGTTGTTTGGATTTTGGAATATTTGCCTATGCATAATACATAATCTTGGAGATGGGACCCAAATCTAAACACAAAATTCATTTATCTTTCATAAATACCTAATAGACATAGCCTGAAGGTAATTTTATACATAATATATTTTTTAATAATTTTGTGTATGAAATAAAGTTTGTGTACAATGAACCATCATCACCATCTCAACCACCCATAAAAAAAGTTTGGTTTTTGGAGTATTTCAGATTTTGGATTTCCAGATAAGCAACACTCAACCTATATTTACTTTTCTTTTGTAACTTTCCAAGCCTCATAGGAAAAAAAGTGGAATTGACACTTTAGGCAAGCTGCATCCGTAAATATGTGTGACCATATTTTCACTGAAAATGCATGCTTTGTGACCTGACTACATATACACTGAAATGACGTCATATAAGGGCTAGCAACAGATGCCTTTTCAAAATAGCACTGACCTTTTCAAAGTGTATTCAAGATGACATATGTTCCTTATGACTGAACGTCTATAATGTTATGCACCCATCTATGTTACAATTAGGGATGTTTGAGAATTTTGGTTTCCTTGTATTTTGAAATAAATCATTCTGATCCACACCTTCTAGACTTATGTTGTAGATCAGAATACAATTAAAATTCAGATTTTGCACATCTCCAAATGTTAAGAAGTAATTCTTGGTACAAAAACAACCATTTTGGTATTAAATGTATCTACAAATGTGTGATTTGAGAGATATAGCATTTAAAAATACAAAATGTTTACTTCAATACCAATTTTCATACTGATTTATTTTTGTAAGACAGCATTAATGAACGAATGAATCAACACATGTCAAACTGACAAATAAGAAATAAGACTGATCCACCCTCTCTAATTACAGTCAAACCAACATCCCTGGAACAATAATCCATTCTGGATTAGAATAACAGCTGGAAATAACTGGAACACTTTCAAGTCAACACTCAACCCATTAATATCCAATATTATTAATCAACATTATTGAACATGTTATTTCCTTCAAATAATGTATTTGTTGGCTTCAAAGAGGTTATAAAGAAGGCCTCAGACTTCTGCCATTCAAAGGAACAGAAGGGAAGAGAGAAGGGCAGGCATGCTATTTCTGTCTGTGCCCCAGTGGTATGAGAGTTGGGGTTACATTCCAGGGGCATCACTAAGGGGTGCGGGAAGTGTGGACCACACTGGGTGACACCTCAGAAGGGGTGTCACCCAATACACTTGTGGGAAGATGTGAGGAAATTTGGAGTTTGGTGGCTTTGCTGGAGGATCGGGAAAGGGACTTTTCTCCCTCTCCCACCTGGCCAGTAGTGTGTGCACCGCCTGCTTGGCCAGCAACTCCATCAGACCCAGGAAGGCTGCAGGGTAGCAGGAATAGATGAGGAAGTTCTAGGTCTGTCAGCTTTGCTGGCCAGGACAACAGTTCCTCTCCCTGCTGCTCATCAGTGGCAGGAGCAGTGTAGTGGCTGGACTGAGCAGCATGGAGGCAGGCACATGGGAAGAGGAGTCTCCCCACCTGCCTACCTCTGCTCTGCCTATTCCAGCCATCAGGCCATGCAGCAGTGGTGGCAACATAATGACTGGGCTGGGCAGCTCAGTGTATTGGGGAGGAGGAAGAGTCTGCCACCCATCTGCCTCTGCACTGCCTGAGTCTACCCATAAGGCTATTCAGTGGTGACAGTATCTCAGCTGGGCTGGGCTGGGCACTGCGGAGGCAGGCATGTGGGGAGAAAGGTCTCCCTATCTGCCCATGTGTTCACTGTCCAGTCAAGCCACATGCTGAAGAGATGTAAGAGGGTGAGGAATTCCCCCCAAAGCACTCTCTCTTTCATGGGGGGTGGGTCTCACCTCCACTTCTCCCTCCCTCATGGCCCCCCAGGTCCTGCCTGAGC